ATATACATTTGTACCATCCCAATGACGCGTTCATCTAGATAAAATTGATAAATAGCAGATTTTTAGCGATGGGCCCAATCTTTGATCCATAGGGCAACATTAGAGCCATTTCCCATATTCGGTAAGTTGCGATGTTTTCTTTAGTCGAGTATTAGTACACTGAAGAAGTCTGCACATTGTAGACGAAATACGCGTATCTGCCAAGGATAAAGCAAAAAAGTTAGTGGAATTAAATGGAAATTACTAATCCTTCTATCTCTCTCTTTATAAGGTATTGCACTACTAGCTTATTCTGGTGAACTCAGAATTGAGTCGAATGCGGCAAGTAGGGCTACTCAAAATTGAGTAGTCTTATGTTGACCCACTTTTGAGTAAACTACGTTCTCACGTAGACTGAGTCAAATCCACTCAGCGATATTTTCAGCTGCGGGGAGTGTTTTTGTTTTGATTTTTATTTAAGGAAATGGAAATTTCCTGCTCCGGATTCATTCTACCGGAGCAGAAAATGCTTCAACACCGTTTCCCTAAGCAATTCCTTCTTACCTGAAGGCATTTCAGCCGGTTTTCAGTAACTTTTCCTAGGAAGTTTCCTCCAACATGGTTGACATTTTTTCTAAGACCAGGATTTTGCTGACTGAGTGGCTTTTACTCAGTTTGACATTTCTCGTTTTCTCAGCTTTTGACAACTCGATACATCGGACGAAAGTGAGTACGATTGAGTCACCCGGTGAGTAAGCTGAAGTTAGCGTGTAAGACGCACTCATTCATCAGGATTCAGCAAAATGATTCCAAATGTGATATTTTTTTTATTGGTGAAAAAATCAAATAAGAAATATTGCTGAAATCTTTGCTGATTTTCAGTAAAATGTTGGCATTTTGACAGAATTTGGAATTGCTGGAAAATTCAGCAGCATTATTTTGCTGACTTTCAGCGATTTAAATTTAGTGTGTAGTGTCCACATTCGCCTAATGAATGTTGAGCCTACTTTGATTGAGGTAAATATACTCCCCCTCCCCTCTTTCGTCACGTTTTTCCTCTGCATACCTAATGCATTGCTTGCAGGCATGGAAAATCATTTGCATTCATTTTGTGCATTCATTTACATTCATTTGCCCCTAACTTTTTTTATCAACAGAATTCTGCAAATTAATGTATGGAGCTTTTGTAGGTTTTGTTATTAGCTACAAGAACTCAAATCCGTATCTCTTATGCATGACGAAACAGAGCAAACAGAATCCACTACTGTTTTTCAGTGAATGTATTTTACATTCACTGAAAAACAGTAACGACTTCTGCCCGCTCTAATTCATGATGTATAAGAGATACAGATTTGAGTTATGGACAAAAGTTATAGCTAATAACAAAACCTACTAAAGTTCTATACATACATCATTTTGTGTAATGCTGTTGATGAAAAAAGTTAGAGGCAAATGAATGTAAATGAATGCATGAAATGAATGTAAATGATTTTCCATGCCTGATTGCTTGTCACAAAATCATACACCACCTTTTGAGCATAAAAATATGAATCAATATATACATATATCAACCAACCAACCTACCCCCCCGTAGTGATTTCTATGCAAACTTTCATCGTTGTTGCAGCCAGAGGTGGTAAATGTCATAGAAATTTGTTGTGTAACGGTAGTAACTTAAGCTGTAGCAGCCATCTCAAGAGAATATTATGACATGACAAATGTGAACTATCCCTAAGGTTTCGTGCACTGTTCACACATACCCATACATGCAAGAAACATCAGCTGTTATGCTTTAGCAATAAATTATTATTAGCTATCGGTTCTTCAAACTAGTCGGTACGATTTTTTAGTTGAAGTAATAAGTTATTGTGGTCTATTGAAAGACTTGTTCGTTTTGTGCTTGATTGTGAGTGCAGCTACTGCCTAGTGAAACTTAAGTCTAAGATCACGACCATGCCGGCCAGTTCCCGAATCGCTGGTCCAACAAAATTATATAGGAAAAAAATGTCAGGACATTTTTCCCCCATACGTTTTCATATGGTTTTTTAGTAAAAATAAGTATTGTTATCACCTATGATTACAGACTCTTAAATTGTGGCCAATATGACTAATTTTAGGTAGCAACTTCTATTTTATCCAACATGTAGAAGCTAGGATTTAAGAGCATTTTATTACATTTGATCAACCCTAATGAATAGTTATGCTGAATATGACGTTTATTAGACACAAGGCACACACACTTAATTTTTTTCGCCGAGATTCCAACAGCCGAGTATTTCTGCAATTTATTTAGCTGAGATTCAGTAAAACAGTTGCCGAGACTCAGTTAACAAATAACATTTTGCTGAGATATCAGCTAACAAACAAATATTTTGCAAAGATATCAGCAAAAGTTATTGCCGAGGTAATCGGCTGTTGGAGATTTTACCGAGCTAGATTAAGTGCTCGCTCTCTGAAACCTACACGAAACGAAAATCAATTATTTTAAAACAGCAAATGGGTTTATCTTCCATTTAATTCCACTTAATTAATTTTGGTATCCATGACAGATACGTATTTCGACTACAATGTGCAGTCTTCATCAGTGTCATTCCCACTAAAGAACTTATCGAAATCTAACCCTCTTAAGTACTTATCCCTAGGTAAAAAAGTCAAGATCATACACCGAGGTGAATTTCCATATACCTTTTATGTGTGAAACCACATAGTTTTTTGCAATTAGACTTCACAAATAAAAAATATGTTTGAAGAACATATAAACTATTTGGTTTCCCACCAATACATTCAATGGCATATAAGAAATGAATTTAATTTGCTTTGGTAAATAGAATTTATGTGTGACGTTTATAACATTTATTTCTCGGTAGAACATAAAGATTATGTGTCTAATTCATATGAAAGTCATGGTACAAATAATAACGCTTACGTGTCAATTTCATATATTTTATGTGCTAAAAATATAAATAAAATAATAACAATACAGACTCTGGTAAATTATTTATTTTCCTGAAAATTTTACACCGTCACTGACGTCAGTGGATTGTATATTCCCGCGTGAAGGCGTTTTTGGTTTGAGTCCTGCGATGTATGTCGAAGGCGAGGTCGAAGGTGCCTCGGAGGGTCTAGCGTATACATCGCCGCCTTTAGTCTCTACGTCCTATTCCTGCGCGTCGTCCTCCTGCACTTCCTCCTCCTGCACGTCATCCTCCTGCAAGTCTTCCTCCTACACGTCCTCCTCCTGCAAGTCTTCCTCCTACACGTCCTCCTCCTGCACGTCCAGCAGGAAGAATCCCTGTGTAGAATTCACAAAAAAAAATAATTTCAAACAAATAATATTTATTGCACTAACTCACGTTTGCCACGTCATTTGTATCCGACGGAAGATTTAGGTTTCCTCTGATTTTAAAGCTTCTCCGAGCTCATCACGGCTGTTGGCTAATGTTTATGTGAATTTTGTTTCGCTGAAAACAATCGAAAATAATAGTTTTATGGTAAATAGTTAAAGATAAATGAGATAAATTATTATTTACCTTTGAGAATGCTCAAGTTTTGTTGGAAGATCGAGATGATTTAGCACAATTTGTGCAATAGTGTGCACTGAATTGAAGCACTTAAACATTATGTGTGAAAACACATAACCTTCATCTATGAGATTCGAACCATAATTTTTATGGCAGCATACATATAAATAAAATTTGTCACGCATATACGTGATATGGGCTAGCTTATAGTAGGTAAGGGGTTTGTTATGAAAATTATGTTAACACGTATAAACATAATGTTTTGAATATCTTATAAAAATTATGTGCACAGACAAAATAAACATTAAGTTTAGAATTTTATTAGTGTAGGTATAAAAATGAAACTACAATGTGTTGAATCGGAACCTACCTAACTAATAAAAACCAAAGATTTAAGTAAGCTAAAGGATGATGAAGACTGCACATTGTAGTCGAAATACGTATCTGTCATGGATACCAAAATTAATTAAGTGGAATTAAATGGAAGATAAACCCTTTTGCTGTTTTATTTAGCATTCCGCTAACAACCCAATTTCATTACTTCAATTATTTTATTCATGTGTTTCACTTATACATTTTTGCCAAAACATCAGCCTTATACATTCCATAAAACAAACCACATCGGTCCTATAAGAATGCATAAAAGGTATGTGTGACCACTTATACATTTCATTTTTGCAAGGCGTCTGCTTATTAGTTGACTTATACATTTTACGAATAATCAGCAATAGAAATTTGCCAAAAGGTATAAGGACATTTCTATCCATGTATGCTACATTCTATGTTTTATACTCTTTTTATAGCAGAAGAAAATCTCATATTTATCATAGCCCACCGGCAGCTGTTGTATAGGAATGGGCAAAAGAATGTCAAAATAATAATGCATCTTGCGGTATTCTCTCCCATTCCACTATCGGCGTGGCAGGGCAGCATAAGCATCACCACAACCACCCAAAGGATGGAGCAGGAAACGTAAACAAACCAACCGGCATACATTCGCATGCTATGCGCTTGCGCTATGCTCAAATAAAAGAGACAAAGAAGCAAGAAACCAAGCCGAACAGCGATGCCAGGCTACCGATTTTTGTACACGAAAAAAGTAGGGAACCCCTTGTTTATTGGTACCGTAAGGTACTGTAACAAAATTCTTATCACAAAAAGTTGTTAATTTTTGGAACTTGTTTTTGAGCTAGTAAACTTGTTCCAGTGCCTTGCGGTCTCGCTTACGGTATTAACAATTTTTGATTCCACATAAACAAGGGGTCCCACCTTTTTTCGTGTACAAAAATTTTCGAGCATACAATACAAAGACGTGTATGAGAGTGAGAGCGTCAGCCCAGCACAGCTGATGAAATTCACATCACGATTACGGAGAGAGAGAGATACTGGGAGACAGTGAGATTGAAGAGAGAGACTTCGTCATCATCGCGGACCGGCAAATCGCGCTTTATTTCGGATGCAATGCGGCTTGTTTCAGTAGCTTTAGTAGTAGTTTTCGCGAGTTCGATGTCGGGCGGTGTTTTAGGAAGACGGTCGTTTCGTTGTGTAGGAAGAAAAATTGCACAAAACATTTTTTGCACAAAAAATAATTGAAAAGTCCCAGTCGTTTTTGTATGTGTTTAGTGAAAATTTCATTATACATAGTGTGAATTTTATCATCATTGATGCGATAAATTGAGTAGTTATAGCGAGTTTCTATCGATTGTGATGTTTGGTTGGGGGCAGTGTCTTGCGTGAGTGACTCATCAAAACTAGAAGAATTTATTAGGCACCTGGGAACAACCAGAATTACTCCAGTTTCTTGGTATTAAATCCGTAAGTTCATGTATACTTTGAAGCTTTTTTTTTGCGGTAAAAGTGGTTCTCATTATTTATAAACTAATTACCAACAATTATTGTTTGTTGTAAGCTGCAATGTATTTGAGCATTGCTGTATTCAATGAAGGGTTGCATGCAAAAAACAAACAAACATTCATATTCACGTGCTTTGTTTTGTAATGGAGTCTATATTACAGCTATGGATATGTGTGCCACCAACAGCTGATGGTGTTATTCCAGTTTATAAATTATATGTATTGGTATTCGGCTCATCAAACGCGGACGGGATTTCCCTTTAGTTTCATCTCTTGCGAAAGCGTGACTTATTAGCTATAAAATGCTTCCATGAATTAACCTGCTACACCCAAGTTAAGGATATTCCAAGGATCATTTTAGCGATATTGAAAAAATAATTTACGTTCCCAATTTCTGTTAAGACATGATTTAAAAAAAGCAGGTCTATAAATATATCGTTATTGGGTTTTGTTCTCGGTAATCAAAATGTAGTCATTATATTTTGGTATACAGGATCTGGATGTCGCATTGTATAAATCGTACGTTTCCTGATTGTGTAATCACTTTTTTTTTTACGTAGGACTACGTCTGTGATTTCTATATGGGGGTACACTTTGTGAAGACCGAAAATGGAACATGTAACAAAATTATGAAAGATTTTGAACGTTAATAACTCAGCTGTCCCTGGACCAATTTCAATAATTCTATCACCAATCGATCAGAAGTTGAATTCCATCCTGTCTCACCAAACGATTTTTATTCAATCACCACGTAGTAAGTGGTGGTGTTCTCCAATACACAACGAAAGGCTCTCCACAAACAGCTAGCTATCAAAGCTGACCTCAACCGCTGACCGGATTCAGTTACAATCACCGTGTGTGGTGGTGTCCGCACCGACAAACCGACATGACACTTAATTCTGACTTATGCCCGAAAATCGTAAACGGCCGATTTAAATGTACAGTGATCCGAACTGTCAAAACCATAGGATTTTTTGATCTAGATTAAAATAATTTGTCCAGAATAGATCAGACACGAACCAACTCATAACTGTTGCATGCGGGTTCAAGTTTAGCTAAATATTTCCCGCGAACACGGAGCCAGATGTCAGTAGTGTGCTCTGGTCGGAAATTTTATTATTTTTGCCTATGGTCATTCATGTCGGTTTGTCGGTGGTGTCTGGTCGTTGGCATCAGCAGCAGCATACTAAAGAGTATAAACAGAGAGAACCCCGCTATAATTCCTATTCCTACACAAAATACAAACTCCTGCTGCAGTTAACAAATAAGATTTATTATAGAAGACCACGTAGTCCTACGTCATCATTGCGTACAACCCCATAGAGCTGTCCCTTGTAGTTTTTCTTTTGAAAATGATTCCCACAAAATTTAAGTATTACCATAAAATTAAAGTGCCAAAAGTTATCTAAATAAAATCTAATCTACAAAAAAGTAATTCTTGGTTCAAGATAATTTTCCAGTGAGTTTTCAGACAAATGTTTTTTTTTTTATAAATGTTCATTGAGGGAAAGGGATGTCACATCTAACTACGTGGTTTGTGGGGAGCTCCTTAGTTCATTTCAGTATCTTTAATTATAGAGACTGGGTCTGCAAGTGACAGATTTGGGTAATTAATTTAATATAGGTTATTGGAAATGGCCCAATAGTTTGAGTCGTTGTTTACTTCACCTGGAAAAATGCTCCTCCGTTTTTGACAACATTAGAACGAGAAAAGGAGCCAAACTAGTCAAAAGTAGGTAAAGTGAACTGGCCGTTGGGTACTTTTTTCTTATCGTGAACCTCAGCCCCGTTCGAATTTATCTTTTTAACCGCAATATAACAGCGCCGCCGGTTGTGTAGTGGTAAGCGTGATTACCTCTCACCCCAGCAGGCCTGGGTTCAATCCCAGTCGGCGCCACCGGGATGTTCTGATGCATCTCTGATCACGTAGGGAAGTAAAGCCGTTGGTCCCCGGTTCATAAGTTGATGGGTCGATAGGTAGGGTCTAGATGTGGGAGCTGACTCCCTGGTGTCGGTAGCATTGGGGCTCAGCACGGAAAGCAAGATCGACGGAAAACAAACCAAGAGAAAAAAAACCGAAATATAACGAGGGGCACTAACAATCAGTGGAACTGCACCGATTGTCTACAACGTCAGTTCTTCCTTCTGATTGGGTTCTTTAGTGGTATTGAGGTAATTCCATACCGTGGACCCCCAGTAATCTGACCGTTTTTAATCTGCGCATTTTTTAGTTTGAACCCCGATAATCTGCACGCCGTGCAAATTAAAAGTTGCTCAAACGTCATTTAGCAGATGGAATAGAGATTGCTGACGTGTGCGCAAACTACGTCACGTATACGTATACGCAAAATGTTTTCATCGGGAAAAAAGCTTCATAGCGGAAAATTTTCCCGATGAAAACAAATCACTGACACAATCATACTTTAGCAATCTCTATGGAGAGAAGCGCAATGGAACGATGCAAAATGGAACGCAGCATCAAAACAAAACAGCAAATAAGGCTACCAGAAACTCCCTTTTCTGATGGTCACAGGGATACTATAAGTTCAATTTAAAAATGAACCCCGGTAATATTGCACGAAGTGTCGTTCATATTAACGGGGGTCCACGGTATTCGCAATCTGCATTACAAATGAGCTTGAGCTTGAGCTTGATTGACCGCCCACGGTTGCTACTCTGTTACTGCCAGATCAGCTGTAATTACACAGAGAACCAATAGACGATGCTTGGGACTAGCAATCATCCTCAATGTGTAAAAACTGGTGATCTTAAATTAGGCAATACCAGCGCCGGCCGCGCCCGAACACAGGTCAAGAAAGGAATGGGAAGGATTGTGTTGACATGACACTCGCTTCGATGGAAGCGGAGAACACCTCTGCACTTCCACGAGGAATCACTGGGATGTTGGATAAGAGGGTTGGGTTTGCAGCAGGGTTCGTTTTGGTAAACGATAAGCTGAATTGATGTCCTAACGATCATATAACGCGAAGGAGCTTGGGATGGAACCCACGGTCTTCTGCTCAGTAAGCAAAAACGTTTGCCACTAGGCAGACGAGCACCTTTTTAATCACCGAGTTGCTGTTATTACTATGTAGTCATATTAACAAATAAAACGATTGACGGATCTTGAATGTGGATGGGCCTGAGATTAGACTCATGATGTTCTGCTCAGTAAGTAAAAACAGTTGCTCTAAGGCCACCGAGCCCCTCATATCACATAATACCGTTGCTCAAATTTGTGTATCCATTCAAACCCGGAACCAACGACAACAACGAGTTTCGCAAAATACACGATACACAAGCGATTTTACCATAAATCTCTTTGATATGTAAGGACCTGGGACCGCGTTTTTCTGCTCAGTACGCAGGCCACTGTAACCGACGATCTTTCAAATCCGAAAACTAAAAACTACGAAAAAGTACTTAGGCCTTCATTAAGTTTCACTTTCACGCGACGTTCAATGACAGGGTCCTATCCAGGATTACATCTGAAAAATCCAAATCTGGCCAACGCTCACCCTAAACCTAAACCTGTTCTAATCCACCTGAAATGACTAACGAATGGAAGACTTTGACTACCCAGCCATGCAATAGTCTCATTCAGTGCCTTATGGCAACTTGATGATTCTATTGCGCTCATCTTTTGGCACCACCCAGGGGAGACTTGGTCCTGTACCCAATGCTTAACTTATCTCCATTCCACTCAGCTACTCGCAATTTCTTGTGATATAGTGGGCGGAATATTATATGAGACAATTCAATGCAGACGTCTTTCCAAATTTGGCAGATCGACAGGTAATCGGTGAGTTACAACGATAGTTGCTATTCAACAACTCGACAACGTCCCATCGTCAACGCCTGCTATGAGAATTTCCCATTGCAGACGCCAACGAAATGACGTCATCGCGCTATCGATCAACTACCCTGGTTATCGCCTGGTACCTTATAGCACGATGCTAGGAGGCGAACTGGAAGAATCGATGAGCTAACTCTCCCCCTATTCGCAATCTGCATTACAAATGGAACAGAAATTCAAAATTTCATCAATTTTGGAGCACTGGAACTATTTTAAATAAGTATGATTACATTACATTAGCAAAAATCACCATCTTAGCACCCCTCGATGGTACTTTGTATGGGAGCGAGGTGCCATTTTGTTAGTTTTTTGTAAAGATATCCAATTAACAAGATATACCACTAATAATTTCCTTATTAATGGATACACCACCCTTATGCGATTACAGTGCCATCTGGTGAGTGCACAATAAAACTGTTGGGAGTCCCCCGCCAACTTCACCACCAGGGCTCAATAGGCGAATCCATTAGAAATTAACCGATCGTTTCAGCCTCTGGTGGTGAATAAGGGAACCACCAAAAGAGTGATGAGGGCTTAAATTTTCGCCGTGAAGCATAGGAAGAGGAAAATGTTTTTACCTTTTCTGATTAATTTATCCATCGCAGGTGCTTGTAATCATCATAAACATGGAATATTTTGTATTCTGTATCGATTTTGGAGAGCGTGGTGCTTCGACATATTTTTGTTAAGAAAAGTGAAGATTTATAAAACTACCCTAGCGGATATGATCTTCCGGATTTATAATGTGGTGTTATTTGAGCTGTAAATCCGTTCAAATATGTGAAAAATAATAAAATTAGACCCCTCCCGATGGAAATATGCAAGATACGCACAACAATATGCGTTAATTCGAGATGTAAAAATTGTAATTTGGATGTTAACAAACGGTTTGGTTGACTTTTCCTCTCATAATCGCCTAGCGCACTCTACGTTGGTGGTGCATAGAAACAGCCTATACCTGACAGCAGTGCGCAAAACAGTCAGGTTCAATGAGTCATTTTCATGTGAATATGAACTGCCTCATCATTCACTGCATCGTGAGAGTCTGAATGATTGAGAGGTAAACGAGTCACTGACAGCCGTGCACTCAGACAGTAGCTGGTACC